ACTTTTTTTTTTCTCTTACAACTTGAAGATAGGTCTAAAAAACAAACAAAAATACAAATTTTTAGCTGTTTTTCACTTTGAAAAATTCTCATCACCAAAATTAGCTTCCCTGATGTGTTTTAAAGCAACAAATCCTTAAAATTAAGCTTTGTCCTGAAGATTTAAGCTTTTTTTGTAGTTTACCTCCAAAGACAACTAAATCATTTAAAATTAGAGTGCAAATTATAAAAAACTTGTAATAAGACCTTAAAGCACTATTTTAAAATAACTCGTCGCTGCGTTACTCGTTTTTTAAGCTTAAATTCGTGCCTTAAAACAGGTCTTATAAAACTTGTTTTTTAATATACTACAGGTGTGTCAAAACTCGAACCCCAGAGAAAAATTTTAAGTAAAATAAACTGGTATCTTATCTTATATAGGGTGACTGTAAAAGATTGTGACTTTTCTCGTCTGGTATATAATTGAGATTTCAAATTTAAGTGCCTAATCACAAACCTTGTCAAGAAATTTACATTAAATTTTGGATTAAAACCAATTCCTTTTAGAAAAAACTTAAAATCAGCATTAACAGCTTTCTTGGAATATCTTAAATAATTTGCCCTTTTTTTAATCCCTCGATATTAAACAACAATTAAAATTTTCACAGAACTCACTTTTTTATTTATAAAATTTGGCAGTAATACAGTGTCAGAACTCGCGCCCCAGAGAAAAATTTCAAGTAAGATATCTGATACTAAGAACATGGAAAAAAAATTATCTACCAAAAAATTTTGACATTTGACATTTTTTATGTCTATTTAATGATGATCTAGTATTTGTTTTTTTATAATTATTTAGTAAAGATACAAAAATTTTGCCAATAAAAGCCACAAATAACATTAAAACACAAAAAAATATTTTTCGCATAGAAATAAATACAGTTAAAATGCAAAGTTTAAACTGTCACAACTTCGAAATTTTTATAGATAGAATTTTTTTAACATAATTTACATGTTTCTAGTATGGCATTTTTCTCTGGAGCGCAAGTTCTGGCGCACCCTGTATTTTAACACAACTGAAACGTTAACCAAAATCCTTGAAAATTTTATTACAGCTACATACATGATTGAAAAATCAAACACGTACTTGAGGCGATAACAATGCTATAATTAAAATTGCGTTCCGTGAAGTGAAATAATTAAAATGATAAATGCAAATTACGTAAAAATTCTACTGCTTTTTATTATCATCTCCCCTCGATTTGACATTTGCTGAAATGTCGAAGAATCGATTTAATCGATTCCGGATGAATCCAGTTATTTGTGTTAAAACTGAAATTGTTTGAAACTATTTTTAATTCAGTAACAAAATCACAAAAAATTTCACACTAGACCAGACAAATATGAAGACATTCAATTAACAAATTTGAACAAATAGGAAAAAAAACACTAACAATTAGATGCATTGTTAATTACACCATCAACACTCATGCAATGTAAAAACATTCATCATCTACATACTCAGTTAATATCGCGTAATTAAATGGAATTAAATCAAAACAACTAGTGCTCTCATTCCAACATACTCCCAGTCATAATTCTTTTTTATAGTGGAAACATTTAGCCAATGTAATTAGTTTTAACACTCTGGAAATACCACTCTTTGAACAATAATAATTTCTGAAATCGTAAATTATGTTATGACAGAAATTTATTCAATTCAAAAATGCTAAAGGTTGTGGAAGAAAACCAGCAGGATTTTCAGTGTTTTATTACTTCAAAAAAAATATAATTATACTTCATAAACATTTTTCTTTTCAAGGACAAAAACGTGGAAAACAATTTTTCAATGAATCGGCCACTTTCACTGATTTTATTTAAATCTGAAACACACGACGGTGTTGACCAACCAGTCTGTGATCTATTTTCAGCTGTTTCTCAAGAGACGAAAGTGGACACTGATCTACTTGAAACAAGCAAAAATGCGATTTCTGAAATTGAAAAAAACTAATCCACTACAAAAATTGTATGTAATTTTTTGATTTTTCTGCCAATCAAACACAAGGTTTGCAAACTAATAACACAAATTATCACAATCGAAATAGTCGATATTTAATAATAATTTGCAAATGAACGTGTTTTTATAGCAATATTGGTTTTATTACAGCTATTATTCGATAAGTGGACTCGTATAAAAATTATTAGTTGCTACATTCTTTTAAAGAAACAAATAATCATTTCCTCCCCAAAAAAGTGATATCAAGGCCAGCAGAACAATGATTGTAAAATTTCAAAATTCCACAAATTTTTATATATTTTCATAATCCAAACATTACTATCAATGTTCAGTTCAAGTCTGGGTTAATTTACCAACAACAAATGCAATTATCTATCAATTCGGGTATCAAAACATACACTAATAGTAACCTAGAAAATTCGAAATATGACCAATATGACCCTCGATTATTTATAATATACTAAATCAACTGTAGTAAACAAGATTTCAATTAAAAAAAATTGCATCAAGACACCACACATCAATTATTTGTAACATTTCCACAACAACACTTGATTTGTGATTACCAAAATAAAAAAATTGAATGTGGCAACGTTGTCTAATTGAACAACAGTAAAAATTAATCGTTCAGTAACAGTTTCGCAATAAACATTGTTACCATGACAACAATTAAAATCAACACACAGTGTTGCCAAATAATAAAATTCGCTTGATATACAGGGTATCCCAGCGAGTTGAAAAAGTCCATTAGTGACCTTTAAATGGTAAAATTAAAAAAAAATTATATAGGACATTCATAGATACTCATTTAGTCCATCGCCTAAGATTATTTTCAACTATACAGCGTGTCTCAAAATAAGTTACAATACAAACTTGTCTTTTTTTAAATGAAACAGTATATGTTTCTTAGCGTTTTTTTATGTAGATTTTTATGACAATGTTTTTTAGCTAAACTTTCATTGATCGATTTTGCTTAGTTTTAAAAATAAGACGGTTGCACTTTCTAAAAATTTATTACACAAAAACTAAGACATCTAGAAATATTTTTTACTACCGCAAAGAAAAAGGTACAAGCTATAAGCTTGTAACATTTTTTTAGTGTGTTGCATTTGCAAAGATAAAAAAATAAAGGCGTTTGTTAAAAGTTCAATAACACAAAAAAATTAAATGGAACACCCTATTTATTGTTTTTGCATTTAAAAGATTATTAAATTGTCTTTCTAAAATTATCTAGTTTTAGGTGTTTATATTTACTAAAAAGATATTTAATTTTAAACATTAAAAAAAAAATTACTATTGAATTCAGTAGCCAAAAATTGCACACTTGCACAAGAGATGGAAGAAATATCACTTAATAATCACATTTGTGTTAAACTGAATTCATCATTCTTTATTTTTACAATAAAATAATTCGAATTTCAGTATTTATAACGACTTTTACAATCTCTGGATAAATCAAGGGATAAGTGATCCGTGGTGGAATTACTATGGTTGCCAAAGTTATTTAACTTTTAACAAACTTCTTAATTTATTAATCTTTACAAATGCAAAACACTAAAAAAATGCTACAGCTTTAAATTCTGTACTTTCTTCTTTGCAGAAGTAAGAAAAAAATTGTTCTAGCTGTCTTAGTTTTTGTATAATGAATTTTTGAAAAGTGCATGTCAAAAAACCGTCTTATTTCTAAAAGTAAGCAAAATCGACTAATAAAAGTTTAGTTTAAAAACATTGTCATAAAAATCTACATCCCAAAACGCTATGAAACATATGGTGTTTCATTTAAAAAAACACAAGTTTGTATCGTAACTTATTTTTGGGACATGCTGTATGGTTGAATAATTTTAGGTGATGCACTAGATTAGTATCTATCAATGCCCTTTACAATTTTGTTAAAAAAAAATCCACATAAAGGTGACTAATGGACTTTTTCAACTCGCTGGGGTACCCTGAATATAAAAAAAATTGGGTTATTGTCGGAATTCGGCTTTGATATTATCCAAATATTCCCCCGGAAGCTTCAATGTGTTTACAATTTAGTAATAATAAACTCGAAGTTAAAATATAGTACTATTTAGTGAATATTTATAATAGAGGGGGCCAAAATGACGTCAGATCGCAATTTAGCTTTATGTAATAATTCAGCTTTCACTTGAAAAACTCACAGTTGTGATGTGGAATATAGGGGCTGGTTGGGGGCACACCCCCGACGGCTTGTGCGTAGCTGGGGGGCGCCGACGGGGGCGGGCTGTACGGTGGGGGGGCAGCATCCTTGTTCATTGTCCCAGAAAAGAAATTGACCGAATTTCGTTATAACGGATATCTAAACTTAGTTCCTCCTGACCTAATAGCGAATTATTAGGTTAAGGGTCGCACAGCACACTACTTCGGTCCACTTTCAGTAACAAAATGCGACGCTTTGTGAAAATAACGCGAGGTTACAAGATGTTTGGAGCGCGACTGCTACTTGCCATTCGCGGAAACCAAGAGTTCGTGATGTAAGCCTGCTGGTGGCACTTTCTATCTACCTACAAGTCTGTGTCTAATAATACACGGATTTGGTTTCTATTTTTATGGCGCTAATTGCGCAAAGACAAAATTTTATTAGGTGTTTAGGTTTTTGGGACATGTGTGTGTGGGATCAAGATGGCTCTTTTTTATGACCTGTGTGCGTCATCGTCGCAGGAGATGGGCAGCAGGTTTTTGAGGCGAAGTGACGTCTGACGCAGATGATTTTTTTTAAATTAGTGATGAGAAAATTACTGCAGGAAAGGTCTCTGCACTCAAGTTGGAAGTGGAAATGTAGAGGGCGCTTAATTCCTGCAAGTGATGCAGGCATGGTTGCCAAATCTAGCGATTTTTTAGAAATGAAAAAAACTGTTGTAACCGCGGTTATAACAAAAATTTATACAATTATTGATGTAAATTATGTCAATAAATAATACTATTTCTGCATCTTTTTCGAGCATTTTTCACGTTTTTTAACCAAAAACTTGATTATTTCGCTAAATTTTTTCAAAAAAAATTAATGAAAAGCAGCGTTGATAATGATTATTTACTTTTACTTTTACTTTTATTTCTTAGCTTGTACAGGGTGCGCCAGAATTCGCGCCCCAGAGAAAAATGCCATATAAGGTAAGATACCAGGAACTTCATGTTAAAAATGTTAAATGTTAAAAAAATTTTATCTATAAAAATTTCGAAGTTATGAGGGTTTAAAGTTTACACTTTGACTCTATTTATTTCTCTTGGAAAAATGCATTTACAAGTTTTTTTGCTATAGGCTATTAAAAGAGGAAACAAGGAAGCTGTATCCTAAATTGTAACTCTGTTCAATGTTATTTGTGGCTTTTATTGGCAAAATTTTTGTCCCTTTACTAAATAATTGTAAAAAAAACATGTACAAGATCATCAATATCCTTAAATAGATATAAAAATAAGTCAAATGTCAAAAAATAAATGTAAAAATTTTTTGACAGATAGAATTTTTTAAACATTTTTTTCATGTTTCTGGTATCTTACCTTACTTAAAAATTTTCTCTGGGGAGCGAGTTCTGGCGCACCCTGTATATGCTTAAAAATTACAAAAAGAGTTGATATTGATGTTTTTTGTTTGTTTCATTTTATTTAACTGGTTTTTGAGCAAAACTAAGACAAAAATAAAGCAAGAAACCAAAAATTTGGTCGAAAATGCTTTTAGGCACGCGTTTGTATTAAAATCTCAAGTTTTTTGGGAAATTTCGCTAAAATAAACCAAAAAGTATACAAATTAAGTCAAAAATTACTATTTTTTTGTATTTCTCGAGTGTTTTTGCACGTTTTTCAGCTAGAAACGCAATTATTTTGCAAAATTTTGTTAAAAACAAGCCAAAAAATTACAGAATTAGACCGAAAATAAGTATACTCGTATCATTTTTGCCTTTTTTGAGAGATTAATCACTAAATTGTTATAAAAAAAAAGTATATGTATTATATTTTTGTTCAACTTCTAGACTAAAACTATTCACATTATGTGTTTTTTTTAATCGTAATCTTACAATGTGGTGAAAATTGTTGTAAATTTTTGATTATTTTATCTTGTGTCATTGTTTGAAACAAAATTCGAAAATAAAAGTTACGAGTGCATTTTTGACACTATTTCGATTAATGGATTTTATAATTTTAATTGTTCTCTTACGCAATATGTCTTACTTTCGTTCAGCACATCATTTCCTTGATTTATAACCAGTATATGTAGCTCGGGGCTATTGTCTCTGCATTTTCAAGAATATACAGGCTGTCCGGAAAGTAGCACACCTCTGTGACACTGTATCATCGGGCGACAACAAGAAAAATGTTTAAAAAAAAATTCGTCTTTTCGTCTGTTCGCCTATTCGTATATCACAAATTAAAAAAGTGTTTTATTGTGGGTACGTAAATATTACAATATTTATTCAATGTTGTTTTAAAAATTAGTTTGCTTATAAAACATAACCAGCAATTCTGTATTTTGGATTGCAGATATTCTAAAACTATTTTCTTTATTTAATTTATTCATATATTTTATTTTAGCATTTTACTAAAAATTCTCGATTTTAATTTTTATTCTTTTGCATTTAGCTCTGCTGAAGTTATTTAACTGTTAACAAACCTCTTCAATTTGTTGAAAATTGAGATCAAAACACGCCAAGCTACCAACTTTTATAGTTAGCTGTCCTCAGCATTTCCTCATTATTTATTATTAGACTTGCAAGACAGCCAGTTTTTCCTCCTAGTGCAGGTGTATGGAGTGGCGATTTTTCGCCTTTGAACGGCCAATCAATCTCCACTTGATAATTATTATGATCTATGATGAAAATCAGCGCAATTACCCGTAATTTATTGCTTGGTACTTACGAAAAATCGATTATTTCACGTCGCAGCTGCAGGAAAACTTAAGAATTTTGTCGGAAAATTTCATCTGATTTCGGATGAATGTCAATTAGTTTTTTATTGATTGAATGGAATATAAATTAGTCGTTGGGCTTGGTGTGATTTGTTAACAGATAAACTTTTAAGTCGATTGCGACTGTAGGCGGATAACTGTGAAGCCTCTGGCGGGTTTGATAGGCGTTAAAATGTCTTCAAATCGGTGCAATTTTGCATAATTACATGTAATTTTACAACGAAAAAGAATTATTTTTATTACAACATTGGACCAATTATTGGTTCCCAGATTCCTCACTCGTGCCATTTTATTTCACTAATTAATTCGAAAAAACTACTTTTTCTTTTTTCTTTTTTGTTATCTCTTTTCTACTCTCTGTTCTACCCAGTATGTTCTCTCTTCTATCTTTCTATTTTCTGTTCTTTTTGTTCCCTAATTTTTTTTTATTATTTGTTTTCTCAACCCTCTGTTTTTGTTTACATTTTTTTATAGAACACAACTAAAATTTATTATTTTCACAACAAAGTTGTTATTTGATCGAATTTCAACATTTTTTTTGTTCTCATTGTTTTTTCTTCCTTTTGTTCTCTATTCTCTGTGCTCTATTTTCTGCTCTGTTTCTTGTCTTCTCATTTCCCTCTTTTCTATTTTCTGTTCTTTCTTTTTTTATTCTCTATTCTTGCTAATTACTTACTCATTATTTTCTATTTTGTATTCTATATTCTTTGCTCTATACTCTCTGTTCTACTCAGTTTTTTGTTCTCAATTTTTTAATCTCCCTTATATTCTTTCTATTTTCTGGTCTTTTTGTTCTCTAAATTTTCTGTTTTATTATTTATTTTCTGTTTTCTTCGTTATTGCTCAATACAGACTATAGTCTGTTTTCTGTTTCATTTTCTACATAGAATTCTATAGAACATACATGTCATACATGTCATAATTTATTGCTTTTACAACAAAGTTATTATTTGATCAAATTTCAGTGTTTTCTTTGTTCCTTGCTCTTCTCGTTTTCTCTTTCTTCTGTTCTCTAAACCCACTAATTTCCATTCTCTGTGCTTTATTTTCTCTGTGTTCTTTGTTCTGTTCTTTTTGTGCATTACATACTGTGTGTTTTTTATTTTTTCTATTTTTTTATAATTCTTGTTCTCTCTGTTCTCGTTTACATTTTTTTCTATTTTCTGATTTTTACTCTCAATTTTAGTGTTTTTGATTCTGTCTTCTTCCAATTGAAGGTAAATAATTCAATATAATTCTTCCTTATTTTATTGTATCTTTTCTTTTTAAATATGGGTCACGAAACGTTCCAAAGCAACAGAAATCTTTCCTGGGGTCAGCTTGAGTGTCTTAATGTTTCAATAATCGGCAGATTTCGAGTAATAAAAAGTAAAGAAGATTTTACGGATTTTACAACAGGAATTCAAAATAAAAATGTATTTATTTATACGATGATTGCGGTATAAATTCGATTTTAGTGTTTCTTTCACAAAATGAAAATTCGTCGATCCATCTGATAAGTTTGAAATATTACGGCGGTTTAAAAGTCATTAAGTTAAAATAAAAGTAAGCGCTTTATTGCTTTACTACATCGTTAAAAATCATCCTCATTAAACTCTAATAATAATTATAAAACGATAATGTGAGATGCTGGAAAAAATGTCGATTTTTATGAAAATTGTGTGAAAATAGATTGGCTGGAGGCGAAATTGCGGCGATTATCATCGATTATGCAAACTGGAAGTGGAAAATTTGCGACTTAAGGCCTTAAAACAAAAAATAAATTACTTCATCAATAAAACTAATCTTTCGGGAGATTAAAATGATTAATTCGTTTATGGTTTTGTAAGTCTATTAAATAGAAATATTTTCGGGGACACCAGACCGGACGTGCTATAAAATAAGAGAAAATCAAAATTGAGTACCAAATAAAATTGAGAGTAAAAATAAGAAAACAGCAGATAGAGGATATAAAACAGAGAACAAAAGAAATATAAAACTAAATAAAGAGCAATAAGTGACGTTTAGGGAAGATAAAGCAGAAGGAACAAAAAAAGTTATTAGATCAGATAACAGAAATAAAGAATAAAAATAAAAAATAGAGAGCAGAAAGTAAAGTTTTCTGAAACATAAAACAAAAAACAGGAACAACAGAGAAGCAAAAAATAATAAACACAAAATACTCGTAAAGCACGGAAAATAGAGAAAAAGAATAAAAAAATTACAGAAATAAAGAACAAAAATTAGAGCAGACAAAGTAAAAAATAGAAAACTAACTTAGAATAGAACACAGAGAACAGAAGTCAGTTTAGTGAACAAAAAACAAAAACATCAGAGAAGGTAGAGTGTAGTAAAACAGAGAATAAGAACAGGGAACATGAAACAGATCAAAAATGTCTAAGTTTTAACAATTTAACTGAAAATTTACGCAAGTAGGTTTGCTCCATCAATTGAAAGAAAAGAGAATTAAAATAAATAAAACAGAAAACAAAATACATAAAGAACATAGAGAAGGGAAAGAGAAAGTACAAAGAACAAGGGAAAATGAGAATAGAAAATATGGAACATTGAATTATCCATAAAGCACAGAAAATAAAGAAAACAGGGTAAACATCAAAATAAAGAGAACGAAAATTAACGTTTAGGAAACATAAAATAGAAAGAACAGCAATCTCAAAAAACAGTAACAGAAAACAAAGATTCTTAAACCAGATAAAAAA